TTTTCTTTTTCCGCCAACACATCTTCATTTTGGATAAACAATACTGATGACGTAGAATTAATCGACAGAGGAGCACCTTCAGTTTGGATAAACAGCACTGCGTCGAGACCGACTGATTACCTATCTAAGTCTCGGTCAAGAAGGGTTTCCGAATCCTTATTGGTAGAGGTTATCTTATTAGCCTTCTCGACGAAGTAAGGTGTTACGAGTTACGATATTTGGCATATTGAACGCCGAGTGATTTCATGATTGGATACTCACAGGTGAGTTTCAGAGTTCGACATTCTAACGGCCGAACCACCTTTACCATCAAGACATACATCTCATTTAAGTACTTGTGTCCATATAGTCTGGTGTCGATTCGTCGTGCTTATACTCTCACGAATATAATCACTGTGACCGAATCCAGCGTCGACGATTCATAAATTCCGCAGCACTAGCAGCCTTATCTTCAGGCTCGAGAATCCAAAGGCCGAGACTTGTTCCTTCCTCGACCGCAATCGCAAGATCAAGAAGTCAGCAACGCGCTCAACACAACATCAACAAATTGTACTCCTCGGCCAAGCTCAGCCAACGAGTTGGCACGCCCCGCATCAACCGAATGACGTAGTTGTGGATGCAAATTTCTTCCTTTTTAATCTTGAACAAAATTGCACCTACAAAACAAATAACACCTTAGGTCAAGGCCAAAAGCCTCACGCGCCCACGATGAATGGGGGGGGCTTTGGCTGAAGAACCTCCGATGCCAAAGTTCGAATTTACAGAGAAAAGTGTTTGAGAGTTTTGGAGAATTTTAGCAAGAGTGTTGAAAACTAGGTTTTTTGGTGAGAATGGGAGCCAATATATATATGGCATGGCCGATCCTCTCTAGAGAAAAAGTGGCCGGCCCTTTATGTATATCTTGGGTGTTATTTGGTGATTTAATTAGCAATTAATATATTGATTAGGAATAAATATATTAATTGGCTAATTAACATAATAAAAGGTATGTTTTTGGGAGTTTATGGTATAATTAGCTAATCAATTAAAATAATGGCTTAATTGATCAACTAATAATGTCACAAAAAAGGAAATATATGGTGGAAAATTGAAGGAAATGGCCGGTTCCCTTGGGAAAGAGGGTAACCGGCCTTTAGTGTATTTTTTGGGCATAATGGATAGTTTAATTGACAATTAATGGATTAATTAAATAATAATCTCATTAATTAGCCAATTAACTTAATTTATGTGGATATTTTGTAGGTTATAGAATGATAGCTAATTGATTAGCTAAAAGAGGGAAGTGAGGTAAAAAGTATATAGAATGAAATAGGTTTTGAATTGTTACCTATTATGGGCACTTTCGATTTTGTTAAGGGATGATTGTCCGCTGCTCGTGCGTAGGAATCTCGTTATGCCTCAAGGGTATTTTTGTCCTCTTTTGTCCAAAAAACCACGTGTCGCCTTGTGAATATTTTTGGCTCCACAAATGCCCCCACACCTGTTAGGCTACTCGTAGGAAAGGGCAGCAGGTGTAAAGATCTTCTTGCTTTAGGAAATGTAGGATTATTTCCTGTTTGATGTTGATTCTCTCTTTAATAAGAAATTAGATCCTTTTAGGAAAGGGAAATAAATTTCTCTCAAAACCTATTTAAGTCCACCTTAAGTGGGTTATTAAATCAACTTTGGAGAGTGATTTATTCTACCCTACAAGCAAGAGAGAGCTTAGAGGATATTTGTTCCCCCTTCTCTAGCAATCTTCTACATCTTGCCCGTGCAAAGGATCATCTTTCGTTGCTTTCTTTGTTTTCTCCCCGCCACACCGAGGTAAGAAAAATTTAATTTTCCTTGTCTTTTCCTTGGATAGTGTTGTCGTGGGGTAACTGTCGGGGTGGTGCGGCACTTCGGTTAGCAAGGGCCAGGAGTCGGCTTAGCATGGGTTGAAGGTGTTGTGGCAGGGACCACTGCTTAGGCTGCTCGACTTGGCTAGAGCCAAGGCCAGCTTATGCGGTTGGGGCAGCAAATTGAGGTGCTGGGGGGCAATAATAAATGAGTCACAGGGCTCATGTCTTCTGGCTTCTTGGACCTAACGGGGGCCAGGCCTACGATTGAGAGAGATGAGGAGGTTGAGGGCCTCATGAGCTGCTGGAATACTGGGTATGCAGGCCTCTGGCCTACTGGTCTAAGAGAAAAAAAATAATACTTAATTCTCTTCGCCGGGAGAAATATGGGTTGCTCTCTCAAGAGAAGGCAAAGAAGATCAAGGCAGAAGAGATCTTCCCCGTCTGCTCAAGAGATGTTGGTTAAGAAAAAACTGAAGACTTTCTCCGCTACTCGTAAGGGTCTACCTGCTGTCGAGAGGCATGTGATTGACAAGACTTCTTCAAATAGGAAGAAAAATGAGGCTGCTAGATCTGAGCCTATGGCGCCTGCTATGTCGAGAATGGCTAATTCGATTGTTGATAGTATTGCTCAGTATGAAGGTCTTGTCATGCCCCTAGTGTCAAAGTCTATGCTAAGACGTTCGTTGGGAACTAAGTCTGGTTCTCATTCGAAAAGGCTTGCTATTATGAAGAGTGATAAGGTGGACTCTGCTGCTAAAGTGGCGCTAAGGCCCACTCCTTTTGTTATTGAGATTGATTCGCCTATTGAGAAGGAGGAGACTGGTTGTGTGGGCAGCTGTGAGAAATCCACTAAGCCTGCTTCTAGGGAGGCTGCTAAGATCTGTGTGCTCTTGAAACCAGATCTGCTTGAAGACGTGGACATTTGTGCCAAGTTTGTTGATGGAGTTAGAAAGGTTTATTTTTCCAAGTTCCTTTGTGAAGTATACGACCCAATATAGAAGGATTGCTCTGCTTGCTATGATGCATATATAATAAGGCTGCCAAGGAGATGGAGAAGACTATGGCAGCTGAAGTTTATTCCTCATTTGAGGAGATCAAGAGGTTAAACTCTGAGCTCGTTGCTTTGAAGGGGTCTAATATTTCTGCCCTCACTTCTCTGCAGCTTGAGGCCGCTTGCCAAGTGATTGTTGTCTTGAAGACTAGTCTTGACGCGATCCAAGTTAAGTATGAAAGTGTAGGAAAGGAGATTGGATGTTACTTACCTCATATTCAAGATCTTGAGTTTGCAGTTTCTGAGCTTTATTTGGCTGCTTATACAAAGGATGAAGAGTTGATTGCTACTTATAATCAAGTGATCCACTTCAAGAGAATCATCGATAGGCTTGAACCCCAAGTATTGGAACTTCGAGGTATACTGAAGATCAACGAAAGTTTGAAGAAGGAAGTGGATGAGCTGCAGTGCGTCCGTGTTGGTCTGCTCGAGGATAATGAGTAGCTAAAGGGTGAGAATGATGAGTTCGAGGTTTCGAGACGTTCTCTATTAGTCGTGGGATGTCCAAGCTGAAGGTGTGGTGACCGAGTAGTCGTGGGATGTCCAAGCTGAAGGAATGTAGTTTTCTAGGTAACCTTTAGGATTTTCTTTGTTTTTCCTTGTAGTTCTTGTTTTTCTTGAACTCCTTTGGCCCTTTCAAGTTGTTTATAAACATCATTCATTCGCTTCTTTTGTTCATGCCATAACCTTTAGACTTTATAGATCAATGGCAGGCGTGTTACTTTTCTATTAGCAGATATGCCCGCGTAGTCTATGTAGTCGTAGATGTTGGTATGGAACTTTGCAAAGTTGTTAGCCATAGGGTTGGCAGCCGGATGCCTTACTTACAGAAGCAAACAAATCTGCGTAACCATTAGGCTGTTAACCTTGGCTTTCTCCAATTTCATAGGTTGCGTAGCAAGTATTACAATACTTTAGGACTTGGTGTAAGTTTTTCCGCACTTGGCAGAGGTAAAGCTTATCAACTACGTAGCATGTCGACAGTGGATAAAGCTTCGTATATGCATGTTATCTTGTTTAACCTTTCACAAGAATGTGCTGTTGTATAAGTCTAACATGGCTTTACTGCTCGAAGAACAAGCCGTAAGCAGTCTTCTGGAAACTGTAAGCTACCTTAGTGCACTCTGTAGCAGCTTTAGGGTTCCAGGGCAGCCGTCCTATCAGATATACTACATAATGTGCCCATCCGTCTCTAAGGCCTAGTTCCCCACGGATTAGGCTAAGAGACCCAAAATCCTTCAGTTAGCTAGGCCTTGAAAAAGACCATTGTCGCTACTTCTAGGAATCCCAGCTCAAGCTATTGTCCATCTAGTTATACTAGGGCAGCCAGGCTCATCCATGTTTGGATATTCGGCATTGTAGAGTTTATCCTCTAGTCTTGGAGAGCTGACCTATATGGGTGTCGGGGAATTGGTTTACCCTCTCGCACTGGAGAACATGGTTGGTCCCTCGGGGGGCGCAATTCCTATGAGGAGTCCCTAAGAAGGGTGCGGTCTTTTTTTGAAGTGCAGGAGTGATCAGTTGTTGTAAGCATGCAGCCGAGCCAAATGGTGATTAGTTCTGAATTTCTCATTGAAAACGTGCGAAACGAACGAGAACTTAGCTGTAAAGGAGGAACTGCATAACAATTGGATAGTCCTCGGCTTGTGAGGTGGTCCTCGTTAAGCTGCTTGAGTCTTCAGGATTTGATGTAGTGGAGGTCACACATCGTACTTCCTCAGATTATAGGCGCCCCACTGTTTTTCGATCTTTTTGTCGTTTCATGGTGGCAAAGGTGTAATTACTTTTGTCGTCTACTTTGCTGATCTTGTACAAACCTTCCCATATGGGATCCGTCTTTTTGGAGCTTTCTTTGTGGGCAATGATGAAGGCTTTTCTTAGGACTAGATCTTCGTGCTGGAACTGCCGGATCTTGGCCCTTTTATTATAGCTAGAGAGGAGCTGTTGCTGGTAAGCTGCGTGCGGGTGATAGTCTGCTCATGCTTTTTCTCTGCCAGATCTAAGCTTGTGGCCATCTCCTTACTATTCTACTCAATGCTTGATAGTAGAACGGTGATACTTGACGTGATGACATTGGGATGAATGATTGCTTCTATGCTAAATGCCAAAGAGAGGCGTCTCACCGGTTACTCGTCGTTTGGTGGTGCGTTATGCCTGTAGACATTCGAGGAGTTCGTCTGGCCATTTTCGAGGATCATCTGGTTAGATGCTTTGGCCCGCCTATTACCTTTAGGATATCTCGACGTGGACATGTGCTGCTTAATGCCATACTTTTGGAAGAACTTCGCCATAACTTTGCCCACGAATTGCGAGCTATTGTCAGTGATCATGGACTGTAGGATGCCAAATCGGCAAATGATGTTCCTCCATATGAAGTGCTCTATGTCCGTTTGAGTCGTGGTCGTCTTGGGCTCTGCTTCTACCCATTTAGTGAAGTAGTCGGTTGCCACAATCATCATGCCTCTGTCCCCAGTAGCAGGCAGCATAAGTCATACCAGGTCAATTACCCACTGTATGAACGGCCAAGGACTCGTATGCGGGTGTAACTCGCTAGCAGGCAGTGCTGGTATCGACTTGTAGTGCTGGCAGCGGTCGCACTTTTGTATTAACTTCTTAGCATCTTGATGCATGGTAAGGAGTCGTGGAGCTGGGGCCATGTTACACGTAGCAAGAGATGCTCAAATGCCGGTGTTGGACCATGATGCGAGAATTATACGCACACAAATTAAACCCTCTTTTTGTCAATTGTAGTATAAGTATAAGTAGGGATCGTTCTGGACCGGGGATTAGGAGGGATTGCAAAATCACTTGGATTTGACTCAAAAACGTAAAAATACAATATAAAACACTATACTAGACTCAAAGAATGCAAAACTAAACTTTAAAACACTAAGACAAACCAAAGATTCAAAATGCTTTAAAAACACAAACTAAATTGATTTCTAACTAAAATGAACAATAAAGTAAAAGGGGATTGAGCTTTGGACAAAAGTAAACTAAAATGGATAGATTGCAAGAAAACAAATTGTAAATACGGATTTGACGGAAATGAATGGATGGGATGGCTAGCTAAGGGGTTCATCTCCACACATGTTACACTTGCATAATAAAAAGATTTCTAATTGCTTTTCAATAAACCATGAATTCTCAACGCCCCGGGTTAATTAGGTCCGCTTAAATTAACCGTCAAGTTTTCCTTAAGTTAATGAATTGGATGATTGCATACGACAACCCAAAGCATTCCTCACAAGTTCCCTACATGAATTGCATAATAGAGATACAAGCAAGAATCATTAAGCATCATGAAAACTATAAGTGTTGACGAGGCATTCGTTACTATGATTGCATGAAACTTATGCCAAGAATTTGTTTAACGCGATTGTTTATAAGCAACCTCCACTACTTGTGAATATAAGTTCATAACTATTACGTGAAACTCACTTATATTCTAGCGTCAAATTCATGCATGAAAATTAAGCGTCGACTCTCAATAAACATACATAAATAGGTTATCAATCAAATAGTTAAACAAATTGAATTCACAACTTATGAAACGTAATTAGAAGTACTCAAATCATAATGCAAGCATAAACATATATTTCGAATCACCCCCTAGCTAAAGGGGGTTTATTTCCTCATACGTACAAAACAAAGAGAATTGAAATTAAACATTGAAATCAAAGAAACGCCTAAACATTCCAACAACTCAATCTTGAATTGTATGAACGTTTAGGCCCTCTTATCTTCCTCTTTATTGTAGCATAAGGTCTAGGGATAGTTGGTTGGGGGGATGGAAGTGTTGGGAAATTATGGAAATGGATGAGGAGTGGTGGAAATGGAAGATGGTTTTTGGATTCTAAGGGAGAGAAACTCAAGGCTAAGGAAGTGTTTGTGGTGTGTTGTGTTGTGAATGAGATGAGATGTGAATGAATGAATGCAAGGGTATTTATAGGAGGAGTGGAGATGTATATGGCTATTTGTTTAAGGTGTTTGTGGTGTTGTGTTGTGTTGTGTTGTGAATGATGAAAGAATAAAGGGTGCATGTGGGGTGGAATTGAATGAATGCAAAGTGAATGAATAATGAAATGGGAAAGCATGACCAAGGTGGAAATGCATGTGATGGGTGGGAACAAAGGGGGAAACATGGCACAAGGGTGATGTTGTTGATATGTGAATGCATGTGTTGAATTGGTGGTGCAATGATGAAAGAATAAGTGCATGTGGAAGACTTGAATGAATGCAAAGTGAATGAATAATGAAATGAGAAATGTTGGAAAGTGATGGTAGTAATGCACGGTTTTGGTTGGTTTTTTTTATGATTTAAAATGTTTATGCATGATGAAGAGTTAATAAATAATGCATGTAGGGTTAGCTAGGTTGTGTGATGATGAGTGTATGTGGAATAAAGAATGAATGGTGGTGTAATGATGAAGTGAATGCATGTGGAATTAAAGAGGGAGAATGTGATGAAATGATGAAGTAGGAAGGTGGAAATGCATGTGAGATGTTGGAAAGGAATTGGGTTAAAGAATGGGAGTGCATGTGCTAGGTTGTTGTTGTGATAAGTGATAAGTGATAGATGTATGGTTATGATAAGTAGATGAGTGTATGGTTATGATAAGGAGATGAATGAATGATATGTTAAGTGATAAATGAATGATATGTGGTGAGTGATAAGTGAATGTAAGTGATAATAAGGCTAGTTTAAAGGGCTAGGGTTTAAGTACATAGAGTGGGCCTAAAATAGGTTGGTTTGCATGGCATAATATGTTTGATTAGGCTAGAGGTTTTCCATGGCTCAAAGGATTTGTTTGATTGGGCTAGGCCCTTTGTTTGATGTCCCCAAAGAGTATACAAGGCTTCAATTTCGTCCATCCTCTTTGCTCCATGATTAAGCTATCCAATCCATGCCCAAAAGTGCCCCAAATAGCCTCAAAATGCACTTTCTTGCTCCCTAAGCCCTTAGAACCTGAAAACACACAAAAGAAGCATAAATGACTAAAATAACTATGAATTAACAACATAGATGCACGAAAACAAGCTAAGTAAGTCGCCTAAATATGCTCCTATCAAACTCCCCCACACTTAACTTTTGCTAGTCCTCGAGCAAAACAGAAATAAAAACAAATAAACAAAACAACACTAAACACGTAAAACACAACCTAAACCTTCCAACAACCGTCTTAGGGATTTCCAATGCACATGACATGTTAAAAATCATCATTCTCACAGATTTTAGTCATCTTCACACTTAAGTACATTCTTAATCATAGTCACCATATACTAGTTCACAATTAAACATTTAAAACCATGTTTTGAATGTAGTAACATGCCTTAGAGAATTTGCTCAATTCCTTACAAGATATGCACTCGATTTTCACTCAGAATTTCTAACTACACACCCTAATCTAGTCATATGTGAGAAGATTGATGTAAACATGAAAACGAACACTCACATATATGTATCGCAATTTCTGGAGTTAATAAGCATGTTTAGATATGATCTCATGAATGGAATGCTACTACTTAGACGCGAGAACCAGTGACACCATATGCTCATACCAAATTCAAACTCCACAATTGAAATACATAACACTCAAGATAGAAGTCAAAGGGTTGTAACGGGGCTAGGGTATTGGCTAACAATGAAAGGTGAAGGGTAAACAAACATTCTTAAAGCAATAGTGAGCAAAGTATTGAATCAGGCACTTAGAATTCCCTTAAGAACGCAGAAGTCAACTTTGAACACCCAAGGGAAAGTCACACAAAACTTTAGGGCCATATTCACTTTTTGGACCCTTTCTTCAACCATCAACGCTCGTGAGTTCATTCTTACTTATTTTCCCTTTTTTTTTTTTTTTTTTTTTTTTTTTTTTTTTGAATCTCAAAACTTACATATAAACGTAAGAACAAGCATTCCTTCCCCCACACTCATTTTCTTGCAATACCTTAATCAAAAGGAATTCATTGCTTACTATGCTTCAAGAACAAGGGTAAGGACGGTCATATTCTAGGTTAGGTGAGGATAAAGTGGGTTAACAAAGAACATGGGCTAACACGGCTCAATGGGGTTAAACTTAAACACAAAATGAGTTAAGGGCACATGGCTTTTTGGCTTTGATGGTGGTCACTACACAACTTCATCTTGAATATGTGTTATGCAAATCAATAATATGCTTTGAATGAAATGGGCATGAGTTCTAGCATTTGGAACTATATGATGAAACGCCTTCTAAGTAGTAACCAAGCAAAGAATAATGAGATCATGCAACGACTTTAGAAAACAAGAAATCACAGATTATACTCTCCAAAGAACGTTATAGGCTCAAGTCTCTCAGGGTTGTAGCGTTTGTTTGAGTTCCTTCCTTCAAGCATGTTACAAAAACGAATTTTTCTTTTATGATTGCATGTGAAGTCATACATTATAACCATAACCAAGCATATACCAAGAGTAAATCAAACTTTTCTCTATGTTTATAACTCTTTTTAACAGTCATGCACTTACAAACCAAATCCTTATCATTGTGTTGGAAGGTACCTACGACACAAAAACGACTCAAAACACTCTTTTTAGGCTTTTCAAAACATGTTTTTCAAATTTTTATGTGATTTTCGAATTTTTAAGTCAAAACACACTAAACACACTTAAAAACAACAAGAAACAACATTTGAAGTTATGGTGGATAAAACCCTACGAATTTGCATCAAAACACTTTAGTATCTCCCCCACACTTAAATCAAACATTGTCCTCAATGTTAAAAACCACACTAAACACAAACAAACATATAAACAGCAATTAAACATACTAAACATGGCAGAATGTATCTAACAAAGAGAAGAGTTTAGAGACGCAAATCTGGTTATAGAGTGTAAATTCCATCTTCTCCTTGGTAATTGCATTGAGGCTTGGATCTTTGTGATTCCACAGGCTTACTCTTGAACTGCGCTGCTCCATCGTTGATTTTCCTTTGTGCTACTCTTGAACTGGGCAGCAGGCTTCTTTTGGTCTCCCCCGAAGGTCTGAGCTTCATTCTCTTATCTGTTTCTTTGTTTAATCTCTCCAATTCGTATTGAAGAGGGTTAGAGGATAGCTCAGCAAAGCTAGGTAAGCAACCAGGGAATAGAGTCTAGATAGACTCCAAGTGCCGGCTGATTGCTTCTTTCACTTTGCCATGCAAGTAATAACAAAGACAAAGGAAAAGACAGGGAAAGAGCATGATATGAGATACCTTTGCTTTTGACCTTGATGATATGAGATACCTTTGCTTTTGAAGAAGCGGTGAATGAATCAGCACATGTATTTGTTGTGCTGCTTCCTCCTGGGTCATCTGTACTCCAGGCATCTGGTATCATCTTTGGGGAAAAAGAAAGAATTGAGTGTTTCGAAAGGCTTTGCTGGGAGTGCGCCCTCAGAGGTGAGGAAGAGTCGGGCATTTTCTTCAGGTTTGCCTTGCCATAAAAGATGAAAGTCGACAAATATAGGGA